CATTAACCAGTTAATCAGTCGTTAACCAGTTAATCAGTCGTTAACCAATTATTCAGTCATTAACCAGACAGTCATTAACCAGTTAATCAGTCATTAACCAGACAGTCATTAACCAGTTAATCAGTCGTTAACCAGTTAATCAGTCATTAACCAGACAGTCATTAACCAGTTAATCAGTCGTTAACCAGACAGTCATTAACCAGTCATTAGTCGGTCATTATCTAGAGTTAATCTAAACGTAGATCAGATACAGCCTTCAGACAGGTGCCAGGTACTTTGGCACCCATCATCGCACACTCCTCCGTAGCAATGAAACTCGTGAATCGGTTGAAGTGGGGTTCTGTGGAAAGATTATTAACAATGAGCATCTTACCTGTTGTAGACAACTCTTTGAACAACCTCTGTTTGGAGAAATATTAGGCTCTTTCACAAAAGCCTAAACCAAGACTATATTGTAATATTTATCTAAAACTGGCAGTGACTTTACACGAGCCGCTATAAAAACTTTAGAGGTTTGATTTGTTTTAATCCTCACATCATTCAAACTAAAACAATTTAGTCAGATGACAAGAGAGACGGGACTCCACAGCAAGGAACACACTTGTTCTGGGTAACTTGAAGCACCCTGGCAGCCATGTTCAGTGTCCCTTCAAAGTAAAGGCAGAGAATATCCTGATGCTGCTCAATAATCCAGGTAGAAAAATCTAAATAAGTTAAGTCTGGTCCTCTGGACATTCAAAAAGTCATTTGTTTTGTTTTTTGAATGTCCAGAGGACCAGATTTAACATTTTTAGATAAAGGCAGAGAAACACCAAATGGGCTAATACAAAAATTTAAAGTAGAAGGATACAGTTAAAAAAACATCACTGGGTTAAATATATAATATTTAATAATATGGGATAAAAATGGGCAGCACGGTGGCGCAACTGGTCGAGCTGCTGCCTCTCAGCGAGAAGGTTGCCGGTTCAAATCCCCGGTCCGGGGGTCTTTCTGGGTGGAGTTTGCATGTTCTCTCCGTGCATGCGTGGGTTTTCTCCAGGTGCTCCAGTTTCCTCCCACAGACCAAAAACATGCATGTTAGACTGATTGTAACTCTAAATTGTCCCTAGGTGAGAGAGAGAATGGTTGTTTGTCTCTATGTGTCCCTGTGATGGACTGGAGACCTGTCCAGGTGTCCCTGTGATGGACTGGAGACCTTTCCAGGTGTCCCTGTGATGGACTGGAGACCTGTCCAGGGTGTACCCCGCCCCTCGCACGGTGATTGCTGGACATGGGCACCAGCGACCCCGTGACCCAAAAAGAAAGAAGCGGGTAAAGATAATGGATGGATGGATGGATGTGATAATAATGGATTTCAATGGGGTTGATTTTCCCCCTAAGGAACATTAGAGGGTCTTGATGTTTCTGTGAAGTTACAGGATCATTAGAAACAGTTCTGGCACAAATAAAAGTGTAAATGCGCAGACGCATGGATCATCTGAAGGTTGACAGCTGTAATCATGTTTGGTCTTGACCCTGTCTGGACTAACCGTTTGAGATGGTGTAGGGGCAGGGCAGCCAACTCAGGACTCGAAGGTCTCGTGTTCGATCCCCGGTCATTGCACATCTCATGATGTCTCTGAGCAGGACATCTTATCCCCAGTTGCTCCCCAGACACTTTTCATAGCTGCCCACTGCTCCACCGGGTGGTGGATGGGTTAAAAGCAGAGACAGTTTCATCATTGTATGGGAGCATGCAATGATGACAATACATAACACATTATTATTTTTATTATTATTATTTTTATTTTTATTATTATTGTTATTTTCCAAATTGAGGTCGTACAAATCTACAGCTGGAAGAACCTTTCCACAGAACCCCACGTCAACTGATCTGAACGATCACTTTAAACTGGCAACAGTAAAACCAAGACCAGCCAACAGATTCATCAGACCCGAGCCAAAACTAGTTTCCGTATGACTTCTAGGACCAAGTCTGATCCAAAGCGACTCTGATCCACAACCCTCAGAACACCAACAGATCCGATGGCACAGCCCCAGAGACAGACTGCAGGAAATCCCCTCAAAGTCCCACGTCCATGAACTAAGTTGTTTTGGCAGCAAGGCGGGCTCAAACAGTCGGCAGGTGGTTTTGATTCTTTGGCTGAATGGACTTTAGTTCTGTATCATCGGAACAAGTCCGTGTTTGAGCAGCAAGCCACAGTCTTTTAAGACAAACCCATCAAATGAATAGTCAACCAGATGTTTTCAGGCCGGTTTAGCAACCAAACATTTGACAGTAGTTCCTCTCCATTAGAAGCAGTTTGGACCACAGAATTTATTTACTATTTGAACCTAATCAAAGCTGATGCTTACAGCCCACTCAGCCGTACGTACCCAAAGAACGACACGCACCGACAGTACCACCTCTGCTGCGCTCTCTATAAATAAAACAGGCAGTATTGTGACGGTTTCATTTGATCTGCAGACAGGAGGAACTGGAGAAGGGGATTTGCTTGTGTTTGTGGAGCTACAAGTGATTTCCTGTTTGCACCGTTGATTCCCTTTGAATATATGGAGCTGCAGATGTTTCCTCATATTCAATATGGAAATTATCACTGCTCACCAAGACATTCCTTGGGTTTGAACTGGAGAAACACATCTGTAGTTAAGAGTGCCACTCGTCAGGTCCATTAATAAACAAACGCTTCAGAAACGCGTTCCAGTTGTTTCTTATGGGAACAAAACTGGAAACAGCAAAGAGATAAAGAAATAAAGAAAAGGGCTCAAATTATTCTGCAGACGGACTGAAGGTCAAAATAAACACGACTGCCTGACTTCAACAGCAGCAGGAGGGTCAGGGGGTTCTCTTTGCCTGAACACAAAGTCCACGCCCCCTACTGCCAACAGATGTGAATAGTGAATGTTTGTAGTCTTAGACATGAGTGTTTTTCTGGACTGGGCCTGAACAGGAAGTGCAAGATTAATGTTTTGGTGGGTTGGAGTTACACTCTGTAGAAGAATAGGAGGAGCAAGCAATTCTATTCACCACTAGGCGCAGTGGAGGAGCCAGGGGGCCTTGGCCACCATAGATCAATCTATGGCCACCCCTCTGGCCACCTCAATCATTTGAGAAAATTATACTTTTACAATATGAAAACTAGAAAGCAAAGTTTCCTTAAATGATTAGGTGTCCGGTTCACGAACGCACACACACTCACACACCCACCCACACACACACACATTTTGGTACCTGGATGATTGAGCATGGACTTTCTTGTTTTCTACAGGGTTCTGCAGCTAGCCCAGTTTGGTCCAATCAGCAGCCGTTTGTGGTTTTGTTTAAATATGTGAAAGCTGAGGGGTTTGGACTGTGACGGTTTGCTGGAGCTCTTTTGAACCACCTTGTCTGTCAGACGTCTCTCGGCAGTAGTTCCTGCTGGCCGGCTGGATTGACACTTTCTCTTCAGATTGCAAACGGGGTTGAAGGCTGAACTCAGCTCAGCGTTTCAGCGCCCCGGTGTTGAGTAAGAACGAGCTCCGCAGAGCGATTAGCAGATGTGGGTTTGTGTGCGAAGGGCGAGGAGAAGCCGGCTTTTGTTTTGGCAAAGTTCAGCTGCCAAAGACGTGGATCAGGAGCCAAAACCCACCAAACAAACTTGAGGCGGTGAACATTTTATCTTTTCGAGCTCGTCGACCTGGAAAGAAGGCTGTTTTATCCCCCCCCCACACACACACCTTTAGGTGGCGAGCTGAAAAGGCTATGGGTGGTGTTTGTTGGGACTTTTATCAATCTTGAAATCTTGAAAGATTTCAGTCAGCTGCGCTCAGTCTGCCCCTCATCTGAGACGTAATGGTTCACTTAGGGACTGTCAACAAATTACTGAACCAAACACTATTCAGAAACAAAAATTAATATATTTTACATGAATGTGTGAGTGCAGGAAGCTATTCAACAAAAGAGGTTAGCCAAGAAGAAATAACAGTGAGAGGGTTGAAGAGAGGAGACAGGAATATAAGGAGATGCAATGTAGAGCAAAGAGAGAAGTAGCTAAGGTAAAGCAGAAGGTGCATGATGAGTTGTATGGGAGGCTGGACACTAAAGAGGGCAAAAAGGACTTGTACTGATTGGTGAGCCAGAGGGATCAGGTTGGAAAGGATGTGCAGCAGGTTAGACTTGTTAAAGATAGGAATGGTAATGTTCTAACAAGTGAGGAGAGCGTGATGGGAAGATGGAAGGAGTACTTTGAGGAGCTAATGAATGAAGAGAATTAAAGAGAAAGAAGAGTGGAGGTCATAGAAACTGTGGACCAGGAAGTGGGAAAGATTAGTGAGGGTGAAGTCTGGAAAGCTCTGAAAAGAATAAAGAAAGGGAAGGCAGTAGGACCTGATGACGAGTGAAGGTTTGGAAATGTCTTGGAGAGATGGCACTGAGGTTTTTGACTCAAACATTCAACGGCATATTTGAGGGTCAGAAACTGTCTGAGGAATGGAGAAGAAGTGCTGGTGGCCATTTTTAAGAACAAGGGTGATGTACAGAGTTGTAGCAACTACAGGGGAATTAAGTTGATGTCACACAATCTC